ACATACACCATCACAGCAGCAGCCTCACACACACTCACAAATATACATCGGCTAGCGAGCTGATCTTTTGGTGAAGAAGATAAATGAAAAGAGACGTGACCGATCGCCCAAGCGGCTAACAAGCCGTTCAGTGGCGAAGAGGATAAAAGTAAAAAGTAAAAGTCACAGCAGCCTCACCCACCCTCACATACATACACCACACCGTCACAGCAGCCTCACACACCCTCACATACATACACCACACCGTCACAGCTGCCTCACACACTCTTACACACACACACCCTCACAGACATACACCGTCACAGCAGCCTCACACACCCTCACATACATACACCACACCGTCACAGCTGCCTCACACTCTTACACACACACACCCCTCACAGACATACACCGTCACAGCAGCCTCACCCACCCTCACATACATACACCACACTGTCACAGCTGCCTCACACACTCTTACACACACACCCTCACAGACATACACCGTCACAGCAGCCTCACACACCCTCACATACATACCACACCGTCACAGCTGCCTCACACACTCTTACACACACACACCCTCACAGACATACACCGTCACAGCAGCCTCACACACCCCCACATACACCACACCGTCACAGCTGCCTCACACACTCTTACACACACACCCTCACAGACATACACCGTCACAGCAGCCTCACACACCATACATACCCACACCGTCACAGCACCTCACACACTCTCACAAACATGCATCGTCACAGCAGCCTCACACACACCTCACATACATACACCACACCGTCACAGCAGCTTTACACACCCTCACAGACATACATCGTCACAGCAGCCTCACACGCCGTCACAGCATACACCACACCGTCACAGCAGCCTCACTCACCCTCCCAAACATACACCACACCGTCACAGCAGCTACACACCATCACAGACATACACCGTCACAGCAGCCTCATACACCCTCACAAACATGCATCGTCACAGCAGCCTCACACACCCTCACATACATACACCACATCGTCACAGCACACACACCCTCACAGACAAACATCGTCACAGCAGCCTCACACACCGTCACATGCATACACCACACCGTCACAGCAGCCTCACTCACCCTCCCAAACATACACCACACCGTCACAGCAGCTTTACACACCCTCACAGACATACACCGTCAGCAGCCTCCTTACACCCTCACAAACATGCATCGTCACAGCAGCCTCACACACCGTCATATGCATACACCACACCGTCACAGCAGCCTCACACACCCTCACATACATACACCACACTGTCACAGCTGCCTCACACACTCTTACACACACACACACCCTCACAGACATACACCGTCACAGCAGCTTCACACACTCTCACAGACATACACCGTTACAAGAGCCTCACACACCATCACAGACATACACCGTCACATCAGCCTCACATACCCTCACATGCATACACCATACCTTCACAGCTCTCTCACACACTCTTACACACATACACCGTCACAGCAGCTTCACACACCTTCAAAGAAATACACCGTTACAGCAGCCTCACACACTCTCACAGACATACACCGTCACAAGAGCCTCGCACACCATCACAGACATACACCGTCACATCAGCCTCACATACCCTCACATGATACACCACACCGTCACGGCAGCCTCAAACACCTTCAAAGATATACACCGTCACAGCAGCCTCACACACCCTCACAGACATACACCGTCACAGCAGCGTCACACACCCTTACAGACATAATAATGGCCGGCCATATGGCCACCTAGGCGTGAATTTGTTAAAGGTTTAGAAGCTGTCGCCAACACAACAACCACAACCTGAATTAACGAGCTGGGTGACCCAATGTCAAGGAATAGTCCGAGAAAACTGGACAGCTCGCCAACTGCACTGGTTAACCGTTAACCATTACCCCGGTAACACGATCCTCAAACCGTTTAACATCCAGGTTCCCAATTACTGTTGGGTAGACAGAGGCAAATGGCGTAAAAAAAATTACCCATAGTTTCACCCTCTCCGGGGATCAAACCCAGCTCCGCTCGCTTGCGAGGCGAGCATGCTGGCTATTACACCACAGGTCGCACAGCAGCCACACACACCATCACACCCTAAATCGTCATCCGTACCTGTCACAAGTGGGGTACCACAGGGCAGTGTATTGGGCCCGCTGTTGTTTGTTTGTTTCATAAATGACATGCCTGACGTTGTACACTCCTCCATACAAATGTTTGCCGATGACGCCAAGTTATTTCGGGAAATCAAGAACCAAGCGGACTGTGAAGAGCTGCAGAAGGACTTCTGTGGGTTCCAGGAATGGTCGAAGAAATGGCTGCTGAGATTCAATGTCACAAAGTGTAAGAGGATGCACCTGGGGCGTACCAACGGTAAGAAGGCGTATCATATGTCCCAACGGGATGAAGAAACTGCACTAGTTGAGACTGAATGTAAGAAGGACCTAGGTGTGTATATTGACAATGAGCTGAAGTTCTCGGGCCATTGTGAGAAGAAGGTATACCAGGCAAATAAATTATTGGGTCTTATAAGAAGGTCGTTCAGATATCTAGACGGTCCGTCCCTCGTAACGATCTTCAAGAGTGAAGTGCTTCCCCGTCTGGAGAACTGTCACGCCGTCTGGTCCCCGAGATATGCTAGGGACTGTCAGTTGGTTGAAAATGTTCAAAGGAGGGCCACCAGACTGGTGCCTCCACTTCGGCACCTCAGCTACCCTGAGAGATTGGAGCGCCTGAACTTGCCTAGCTTATACTACAGACGGGCAAGGGGTGACCTAGTTGAGGTGTATAAGCTTCTCAGGGGGCACTACTCAGTCGAGTGTCCTTACTTGGAGCTGGCGGATGCTCGCCCCACAAGGGGTCACAGCTCAATATTGAAGAAGCCGCAAGTCCAGAAAACCGTGAGGGCAAACTTTTTCGGAGTGAGAGTTGTAAACTCTTGGAACAATCAACCATGGAGTGTTGTGACGGCACCGAGTGTGAGCTCTTCCAAGACAAGACTTGGCCAACACTGGAGCGGGTTCAGGTACATTCAGGAGCCGGTGCATGCCCAGTATTTGTCAACAGTGCGTGACAGAGACGTGACCAATCGTCCGGGCTGCTAGCGAGCCGATCTTTTGGTGAAGAGGATAAATGTAAAGGAAAAATGCTCAGAGACGTGACCGATCGCCCAAGCGGCTAACAAGCCGATCAGTGGTGAAGAGGATAAAAGAATATCCATGTCCAGACAGCTACTTTAGTTTGTAAAAAAGAGAAACTGCATAAAGCATTTTCATTCACTAATTTCTTTGAGCTAGTCAAGATCTAGGGCCAGGGGCTCCGCTGTAATCTGCCACTGAATGACAATAGAGTTTTCAAGGCTTTACTTTATCTTCGACATTGGGGGGTCGTCTCGTCTCTGTTACGCTCTGTACGGAAATACTGGACAGCGAGTGGGCATTCACTGGCTCCAGAATGTTTCTCTATCTGCGTCAGTGTTGGTAAAGTGGCAGGATCGGATGTTTTTAATTTATTCTATAACTGCCGACTTCAGAGTGATTTCGTTGGTGGTCGCTGTAAAGTCTAATGCTGTGGCGGAAAAGTAGGTTATTCTTTTTTTCTAGTGAACAGACGGAAGTTCCCATTTCGTCTTCTCTCATTATATCTAATCAGAAGGGCCAAGGACTCAAATCGGTGCCACTCTGTTAATATTATATCTATTCTGTAAACAATAATAACCACGAAAGAAAGAATAACAGACATCGTAAGTGTTTATCCTAGAACGGTCTGATACAGTCATTACGTTACAAAATAACTACTATATAAAAATGATTTTGCTTTAAGACCTAACCTTGTTTTGGTGAATATGTTACTTTATCATGTCATATCATACTAAAAAGGAATCATAATTTACCATGGGGTCTTTAAGCGGTTCCAAAACGGTTTCACCGCTGTCCCAGAGATCATTCAAGTCACAGTAGATTATAATTACCTCTTTCCAAAATCCTAGATCTGCCCCAGGGACTGTACTGTAGATGAGCCTTAATAAATATCGAAAAGTTAAGAAATAAGAAACATACACGTATATAATTACTAAATGACTTGAAACAACTAATAAGCAGTCAGTTATAGTGGTGGCGGATATGAGGTTTTTCCAAGGATGTTGTGGGCACTTGCATTCAGTGCCATGACAGCATTCTCTGGCATTTTATTACAAGGGTTCACACCTCTCGACTTGAACATATTGATATTCGCTATTTCATACTAGTATGAAAATGGAAGATTTAAAATTGCTCAACTGGCGCTTCAAAAGACACCCTTTTAAATTATTGGTAGTATCAGACTAACACTGGAACAGATTCAGATATATTCTGGAGTCAGTCCATGTCTAGTACTTGCCAACAGCGAGTAACAGACATGACGCAGGTGGCTAATAAGTCTGACAGGCCGATCAGTAACGAAGAAGAATAAAAATGAGAAGGTTGTCGACATGGGAGTCGAGGTTACTGAATTCCTTCCCTAGACTGATCTTCGTTAAGCGACGGGAACCATTCTAGCCTTCATCTCTTCTAGGAAATCGTTGCAATGTTCTGCACGTGATCAGATTTATATACAATAATAACATCTACAACAAGGTGAAGGAAATCAACATAACCCACAGTTCTCCAAATAGTCGTAGCACACATCATCATATATTAATAGGTTCTACACAATTTTCACAAAATACATAATCAACTTGTCAACTGTGATTGTGTATTTTCAGTCACCATGTCATTTGCTCACTGGAAACTTTGCAAAAGTTTGTAGTTTATGGCTTTTCCATTGGGACATTGTTTTTAATAATAATAATAATAATAATAATAGAGCCTTTGAAATAAATTTCATGCACAAACACTCACATGAATATAGCACTATCATAGGAAATACCCACTTGGAGAGATTAATGTAACACATCAACAAATTGATTTTGTTTAATTAGACAGTTTATAGACTTACTTGTCCAGATTCAGTCAAATGATGGTGGCTTAGAGAGGTCAGGAGTAATCTAGAGTAGTCGGCAATATTTCAAGGGTGATTTATTTTGGCCCAGGGCGGTGAGCAGCGACCCACAAGGTGTTGGGACTCGGGAGTAGCCGTGAGGAGTCGTGAGTGGCTACACAGTGTCTCAGGATGTCAACAGAGATAGTTTAGTTTGGGCGAGGCTGCTGTTCAAGCGTGGGTGACATATTCATTAATGAACCATATTGTTACGAATCCCTCTTTTCGCCGCTTACCAGCTTCCCACCACAGGTTACCAGCGGCAGGTCGTATAGGCAGAAGCAGTACATATCTCAAAAGTGTCGTCGAATTACCAGTAATTTTCCACGATCGGTATCAGTGTACAGACAAAACAACACAGGTAGTTTTCCACTAGGTCACAAAAACACACTTGTGAACTGTAGTCTTCTTATCCTCTTTAATAGTCACCAAGTCTTCACAAAACTGTTCACGGGGTAATGTCTTCACAACTGGGCTTCTCACTTATAAATAGTCAGCACACTAGTGTACAAATCCTTATTCTTTTCACTTTATAATGTAGCGTGGTGTATATGGCCAGTTGTCTAATTTCTCTTTGTTAGGCTGAGGCTCACATACATACGTACATGTAGTGCTGTGTGGTGAGGAGCTTGTTGAGAGGAGGTCTTGTCAGTTTGAGAGCGTTGAGTAGAAAGACCTTTGGCTTTGGAGTCCAGGGGGCAGCAGTGCACCCTCCACCCGCTCTAACCCCCACCAGGGAGGCGGCATCAGCTCTGCCTACCGAACAGGAGGAGGCGAGCGCTGTGTAAACAATGACATTTCTAACCACACCTGCAAAATACAGTGTACTTAGCAAATGCTGCAGCTTCTGAGAATTGGGGGGGAACCGGGCTACTACTAAGAGCAGAGACGTTACCGAGAACAAATTCTGTCTGGAATGTCATGTAACACTAATACTGACACGTTTCTTGATAAGAGAGAGGAGTTTGAAACACTACTGAGAGTACACAAACCAGATATTGTAGGAGTTGTAGAACTGTTGTACAAGAACAGGAGACTCGACCCAGAGGAATGTGAGTTAAGTATTGCTGGATATGACTCATTTACGAACCTTTCTCAAGAAACTTGCAAGAGGGGTGTGGTTATCTATGCTAGGCAAGACCTTAGAGCCAGCCAGGCAAGGGTACAGGGAGAGGATGTTTTTGAAGAGTCCAAGTGGTGTAAAATTAAATTAAAGGGAGGGGACTTACTTATTGTCGGGTGTATCTACAGATCCCCAAACTGTGGCCCACTAAATCAACGGAACTTAAGAGCCTTAATAGACAACGCGGCAATGCTCAACCCTAGCCACCTCCTTATCATGGGGGACTTTATCTATGGCGACATCGACTGGAGAAACGAGTCCACCCCAAATGACTTGAATAACCCTGCTACTCTTTTTGTAGAAACTCTGAGAGATAATTTTCTGTTCCAACATGTTAGAGACCCGACACATTACAGGGGGGAGCAAACACCCAAGCCACTTGACCTCATCATAACAAACGAGGAGGGTATGGTGGCCAAACTGGAACACCTTGCCCCAGTTGGCACCAGTCACCATATAGTGTTGTCATTCAGATTTAACTGTTACCTAGTTCAGGATAAGGCCAGACCAAGGTGCAAATATTACAAGGGAAATTACAATGGGATGACGGAAGAGATGAGAGGTATCAACTGGCCTGACTCATTAAGGTACAAGAACGCAGACACTACGCTGAATATCATAACTAGTAAAGTGACCCATTTGATCGATAAATATATATCCAAGACCAAATCCAGTGCCTCTAGGAATACGAGGGGATCCCTACACATGAACCATGCGGCGGTCGACAGAATTAAGAAGAAAACCCAGAAATTCAAGACGTGGGTTGGGTCAAACGATGAGCAAGACAGGAGGATGTATGCAAGAGCCAGAAACCAAGCAAAGATAGAGTGTAGAAGGGCTGAAAAGGAGTTCCAGAGGCTGGTTGCAAGCTAGGTCAAGTCAAACCCAAAGGCGTTTTACCGCTATGCAAAGTCGAAATTGAAAACTCGAGTAAGAGTATCAGGCCTGAGGCTTGAGGATGGTAGTTATGCAGATTCTGACCAGGATAAAGCTGAGGCATTGAACAGCTTCTTTTCCTCGCTGTTTACAAGAGAGGATGCAATTAACCTTCCTGCGTTTGAGGGCAGACGGTTTCGCCACAGCACTGACGCACATTGTGTTCACAGAAGAGGGAATTAGAAATTAACTGTCCAGGCTAAAGGTCCATAAGAGTCGCGGCCCTGACATGGTGCATCCTAGAGTGCTAAGAGAGTTGTGCAACGAGTTTCCCGAGCCCCTGAAGATCCTGTTTTGTAAATGCCTGGATGAACAAATGGTCCCCAGTGAATGGAAAGTGGCTTATGTGAGTCCTATTTTCAAGAAGGGCGATCGTCACTCCACGAACAACTATAGACCGGTGAGCCTGACCAGCATAATATGTAAAGTACTTGAGAGTATTATCAGAGATGCCGCAATGGAACATCTAATACGAAACAACCTTGTAAAGGATTGCCAACACGGTTTTATGCCGGGGCGCTCCTGCTTAACACAATTGCCCAAGGTATTGGATATTTGGACCCATATTCTGGAGCGGGGTGGTAATATCGACAATATTTACCTATATTTTGCCAAGGCTTTCGACAGTGTACCCCATGAAAGGCTGAAAATCAAACTGGAAGGGTACGGAATTCGAGGAAATGTCCTAGCGTGGAAAGAAGGCTTTCTACATGCCCGCAAGCAGTGTGTGGTGATTAATGGCACGAAATCGTCGTCCGTACCTGTCACAAGTGGGGTACCACAGGGCAGTGTAATGGGTCCGCTGTTGTTTGTTTGTTTCATTAATGACATGCCTGACGTTGTACACTCCTCCATACAAATGTTTGCAGATGACGCCAAGTTATTTCGGGAAATCAAGAACCAAGCGGACTGTGAAGAGCTACAGAAGGACTTCTGTGGGCTCCAGGAATGGTCGAAGAAATGGCTGCTGAGATTAAATGTCACAAAGTGTAAGAAGATGCACCTGGGGCGTACCAACGGTAAGGAGGCGTATCATATGTCCCAACGGGATGAAGAAACTGCACTAGTTGAAACTGAATGTAAGAAGGACCTAGGTGTGTATATTGACAATGAGCTGAAGTTCTCGGGCCATTGCGAGAAGAAGGTAAACCAGGCAAATAAATTATTGGGTCTTATTAGAAGGTCGTTTAGATATCTAGACGCTCCGTCCCTCGTAACGATCTTCAAGAGTGAAGTGCTTCTCCGTCTGGAGTACTGTCACGCCGTCTGGTCCCCGAGATATGCTAGGGACTGTCAGTTGTAGAAAATGTTCAAAGGAGGGCCACCAGACTGGTGCCTGCACTTCGGCACCTCAGCTACCCTGAGAGATTGGAGCGCCTGAACTTGCCTAGCTTATACTACAGACGGGCAAGGGGTGACCTAGTTGAGGTCTATAAGCATCTCAGGGGGCACTACTCAATCGAGTGTCCTTACTTGGAGCTGTCGGACGCTCGCCCCACAAGGGGTCACAGCTCAAGATTGAAGAAGCCGCAAGTCCAGAAAACTGTGAGGGCAAACTTTTTCGGAGTGAGGGTTGTAAACTCTTGGAACAATCTACCAGAAAGTGTTGTGATGGCACCCATTTTGAGCTCTTTCAAGACAAGACTTGACCAACACTGGAGCGGGTTTAGGTACATTCAGGAGCCGGTGCATGCCCAGTGTTTGCCAACAGTGAGTGACAGAGACGTGATCGATCGCCCGGGCGGCTAGCGAGCCGATGTTTTGGTGAAGAGGATAAATGAAAATGAAAAGTAATCAGAGACGTGACCGATCGCCCAAGCGGCTAACGAGCCGATCAGTGGCGAAGAGGATAAAAGTAAAGTATGAGTTATGAGGTGAAAGAAGATTGTTGGGGATTGAAGGAAAAGTGGTGAAACTGAATTGCAGTAGGAGTAGAAAGAATCCTGGCTCAACCAGATCGCTTCATCTTTTCTATTGGTGTTTTATCTTTGTTTTGCTCCCTAACGAGCCGATCAGTGGCGAAGAGGATAAAAGTAAAGTATGAGTTATGAGGTGAAAGAAGATTGTTGGGGATTGAAGGAAAAGTGGTGAAACTGAATTGCAGTAGGAGTAGAAAGAATCCTGGCTCAACCAGATCGCTTCATCTTTTCTATTGGTGTTTTATCTTTGTTTTGCTCCCTCGGGTCGTCAGACCTTTGTATTAGTATTGGTTTATTTGTATAAATGCTGCTTATTATACTTTTTTTTTAAACTGCCATGGAGTTAGTGAGCCCTCCCAGGTCCGTGTGTGGCTGGGAGGGTAGTCACTTTTTTATTTATTTATTTATTTTTTTGCTAAGGTGTTAGTTAAATACTAGTTGTGTTAGTCTAAAAGTACAGGTTCATAGTGGAGCTGGTAAGTCACTCATCTTTTATTCTCTATTAATGTTTTATGTGTATATTGGGGCAGGAGGTGGTTCAATTACTTTCTTTCTGGCTTATTTAAACCAACTGTGTTCTTGGAATTCTTCATTATCTATATTATTTATCCAGTTTTTTTAAGTTTCTGTGTTGAGTTCAGTAGAAAGACCTTCGAATCGAATCGATGGGTGAAGTAAAGTGTGAAGAGATCTTGATGCTGGTGCATAGATTGGTGGTACGGGAGCTAGACTTGAAGAATGATGGTGGAGTTTGGAGGGACTTGGGGTTGGTGGATAGTGCAAGAAGAAAGGTGAGGAAATTGGAAAGTAGTAGTAGGGAGCTAGGTCTTATGGCTCAACCCAAGTGCTTCTGTTTTCTCATGTTTGTGTTTCAACTAATTTTCGTCGTAGGGGTTATATTTATGATAGGTGTTTGTATGTTTAACAAGTGTTGCAATTTTATGCCTTACATTTGCGTGTCTTGTGTCCCAGCCAATGGTGGGGAGTCTAGGGCAGGTACTTGTGTTTCTGCTAAGAACATCACTGGGGTAACGTTGCATTCTTTCAATAGAGAGGAGTTGGTCTGGGTTCGAGAGCTCTTCTTTTACTGCGAGGGAACCACGTGTGGTCTCGTCTTCCTTCTTATATCTCTTCCATCCATTCTGTGATTGGTCCTGTCTCTATATCTTCTAACTTTGTCCACATTCTTTTTGAGTGTTGGTGTAGGTAAACGTTTAGGGGTTCTATTTGCGCTCGTTGGTGTAGTTGACAGCTGGTGACCTTGTCAGGATATCTGATGTTATATACTGTACATGTACATCCCTTTGGGCTAAGTTTTGAATTGTCTGCAATTTCTTTATGTTTGTTTGTTGTTAACGCTCATGGGATTATTATTGATTTGTGTTGGAAAATAAGACCCACAACGATGACGCGTAGAATATAATTCGGTCAAAACCTGTTAAAGAACAATTCACATATAACAAATGCTGTTATATCAGGACACATAGTATGAATAATACAATCAATATACAGTACATAGCCTATTAACATCTTAAATATAACTCACATGTTACAACTGTTGATACATCAGGAGACAATTTGTATAATATGATCAAAATACAGTACATAAATATACTTATTAAAGTTATTTAGAGTTTTTTTTAGAGGATTTAATAGTTCACAATCATACTCACGTTTTAGGGTCTAGGGTTT